TTGATTTAGGAGCCACTGATCACGTGACTAGTATGTCATCTGATTTTTCTTCGTACAATTTATGTTCTGGTAAGGATAAGGTTAGAGTGGCTGATGGCACCTTCACCTCCATTGCGGGGAAGGGCACTGTTTCTGCCTCTCCTAATCTTACCTTATCCTCTGTTCATCATGTCCCAAAGTTTACCAATAACCTCATTTCTGTCAGTTACATTACAAAAGGCTTGAATTGTAGTGTAACATTTTTTCCATCTCACTGTGTGTTTCAGGACTTGGACACAGGGAAGACGATTGGAAGTGGACGTGAGGACAATGGCTTGTATTTGCTGAATGCGAGGCCAACTTCTTATTATGTTGCAAATCAATCTAGTGTTAGGAATAGTACTGTTAATAAAGATCTGTTAATGCGATGGCATAATAGACTGGGCCATTTACCTCTTCCTGTTTTGAAGCATGTGCTTCCCCAGTTTGCTTTTATTGAATCTTTTGAGTTAAATTGTGAAACATGCGTTCTTGCCAAACAATGTCATGTTTCTTATCCTACTAGTATTAATAAAAATACAGCTCCTTTGCAGTTTGTTCATTTTGATGTGTGGGTCCTGAATCTACTACTTCGTTACCTGGTTTTCGTTACTTTGTTGTGTTTATTGATGACTTTAGTCGTTATACTTGGCTTTATCTTATGAAAACCAAAGATGAAGTTCATTCCATTTTTAAAACCTTTCATAGGATGGTATGTACTCAGTTTGGTTGTCCCCTCAAAATCCTTCGATCTGATAATGGAGGAGAGTTTATGTATGGTGGTCTTGCCTCCTTTTGTGCTGATAACGGGATTGTCCATCAAACCTCTTGTGTCGATACACCACAACAGAATGGTATAGTTGAAAGAAAACACCGTCATATTATGGAGGTGACCCGTTCTCTTCTAATTAGGATGGGAGTGCCTAAAAGTTATTGGGCTGATGCAGCTTTAACAGCTACATACCTTATCAATTGCATGCTTTCTAAGGTTCTTGGCTATCAATCCCCCTTCTTTGTCTTACACCATGACACTACCTTGTTTACTGTCCCTCCGAAAGTGTTTGGTTGTGTTTGTTATGTTCATATTCATCATTGCAAGGACAAAATGGACCCTAAGGCAATCCGATGTGTCTTTCTTGGATACTCCGCCACTCAGAAAGGGTATCGGTGTTATAACCCTACCACTCGTCGTTGCTTCGTCTCCATAGATGTTACATTCTTTGAGTCTGTTCCTTTTTTTTCCACTACTCGGGATTCTCTACAGGGGGAGACCACTGTACAGGCAGAGAATCCGTTGTCCATTCAGAGGGAATGCCCCCTTCCTTTGCTTGTTCCTATTCAAGGTTGAGGTTCCCATTCAGGGGGAGCTTCTTACTGAGGTGCCTATGTCTAGTCCTCCTTACACTAATGATTTGCAGCAGGGAACGTAGCCAATTGTCTACACTAGGAGGGAAAAACAAGTTACTGACTCACCCCAGGACCAAGAAGTCTCCCTCGTTCCAGGTAATTCCTTAATTGACATTGATACTCCTGATTCTTTTCCCAATAGCATTCCTGTTGATCTTGATGTCCCTATTGCCTATCGTAAGGGTGTTCATTTCTCAACGGAAGTATGTGTTAGATTTGTTGGCTGAAACAGGTAGGCTTGGAGCTAGACCTATTGATATTCCCATTGAGCAGAACCACAGGCTTAATGATGTAGATGGAGACTCATTAGATGATGTGGGAATATTTCAGTTTATGCATGCTCCACGTACACCTCACCTTGAGGCAGCTCATCATGTTCTTCGCTACCTCAAGGGTTCACCTGGTAAGGGGATATTGTTTGGCAGTCATGGCCATTTGCGTATTGAAGCCTATACGGATGCTGATGGACAGGGTTTGTGACAGATTGACGATCTACTTCAGGATATTGCACATTTGTTGGAGGTAATCTTGTTTCATGGCGAAGCAAGAAACAGTCTATAGTAGCTAGATCTAGTGCAGAGGCTGAGTTCAGATTCATGGCACATGGAGTTTGTGAGTTGTTAAGGCTACGTACGATATTAGGTGAGTTGGGTTATCCTGTTCGCGAGTCAATGAAGTTGTATTGTGACAACAAGGCTGCTATTAGCATTGCCACAATCTAGTTCAGCATGACAGGACAAAGCACATTGAAGTTGATCGACACTTCATCAAGGAAGAGCTTCGTCTTAGGTTGATTTGTACTCCATGCGTCAATACACATGATCAGGTTGCTGATGTTTTGCCTAAGGGTGTGAGCAAGACTTGCTTGCAAAATATGTTAGTCGAGCTGGGCATGATAGATATCTTTGCACCAGCTTGAGGGGGAGTGTTGTCAGGGGCTTATTTGTTATTACTTATATAATGTTGGGGCTTATGTGTAATTTTTGAAACTTGTTATTATAAATAGAATGTGGTGGAAGGATGAAAGTATTCTTTCATTCTTTCTCTCTTTCCCCATCTCTATCTCTTTTTCTCTCATCCGCTTTCTTCTCTTTCTCTTCTTATTTATCACTTACTTTCGATTTGATTATATCTAAAAGTTAACAATTAAGTGAGTCAAATTGGTTATGGAAAAGCTAGGGAAATTGAGAAGATGCGATATAAAATTATTACATTGGAAAAAATGGACATATAAATGGAGTAGGGATAATCTTTGGTAGAAATATAGTAGAACTTGTAGTGTTAGGAAATGTAGTTAATATAGTTGGCGGTTTTGCGTAAGTAGTACTAGACAAAAACATTAAAGCATGATTTTGGGAATTCAAGAGATAATTGAAGGAGAAAAGTTATACATTAGAGGAGACTTTTGTGGTTATGAAGGAAAAGATTATCAAGGGTATGTAATGGTATATGGTATTCAGGATGAGATTCTGCTTAATATGTTATTTGTGATGATATATATATATTAATTGATGAAACTAGAGAATGAGCAAGTGCTAAATTGCAGGTCTAGAGGAAAGCTCTAGAATTAAAAGGGCATAACATAGGTAGGAATAAAATTGAATTTATGTAGTAACTTTGGTAAATTCAGGAATACATATAGGGATGCAATGAATATTTTGGATCAAGAGATTCCAAAAATAGAAATTGCTTACAGTACTGCACTTCTCTCGAGGTCCTTCATATCGTATGTCGCTTGGAGGTTTTTCTCCTTCAAAGAGCAGGATCCATGGCCCTCGCCTCATGGGCTTCACCATCAACCCATTGTCTTCCACTCTTTCTATATCATAGCAGTTGTTTGTTCTACTAAATCATTGCTGCTAGCATTGAGTACTAGAAATACTAATTTCATGGCTCAAACTTTCATTTCATCTTGGTCATGATAGCAATTAGTTTAATAACTCTTGGTATGGAAGTTTTGTTTTGTGATACGTATGAATGAATTTGATTAATGAATGTAATATTCATTTTTGAAAAGTTTTTTTCCTCTTTATATTTCATATTCATTTATTCATATTTGTTGTAAATAATGAAATAGAAGTGAAGAGAAATGAAATAAGAAGAACACATAGATTACGTGGTTCGGCCGCTAGGGCCTATGTCCACGGCACAAAGAGCCCACAGGGCTACTTCACTTTTATAATGCTATCTCAACTCATTCACAAGACAATAGTGGAGGCTCCTTAATATAGGAGAATAAATGATGAGAATGGAAAGAGATATAAATACAAAACAAGGGAGATTTTTCTCTACTTATTCATCTAGTAACAGTAAATCTTCAATAATAGGAAACAACATAAATTACTAGAAGATTTTCCTTCATTGATTCCTCCATCAAATCTTCAGTACTCCCCCTCAAGTTGGAGCATGAATGCCCAACTTGCCATTGAGATGACGAGTAGCAACAAGTGTGAATGATGAAAAGAGAACGCGAAGTGCAATGCTACCGAACACATCGGCAGTCCAAACAATTCAACAAACAACTGTCGGAGACACGGCAAAGGCGAAGACAATGCTACCGAATACACTGGTAGCCGAAACAAATCAACAAAAATGCTGAGACACGGCAAAGGTGAAGAACAATGCTACCAAACACAATGGCAGCCCAAACAAGTCACAAATAGCACCGAGAAACCCTTATCAACATTTCAGATGCTAAGGGAATACCCCAAAATAGAGGTCCAAACTTAGGAAGAGAAGTTAGGCTCTGATACCATGTTGTAAATAATGAAATAGAAGTGAAGAGAGAAATGAAATAAGAACACATATATTACGTGGTTCAGCCGCTAGGGCCTACGTCCACGACACAAAGAGCCCAAAGGGTTACATCACTTTTATAATGCTCTCTCAACTCATTCACAATACAATAGTGGAGGCCTTTTTATATAGGAGAATAAATGATGAGAATGGAAAGAGATATAAAATAGGAAACAAGGAGGATTTTTCTCCACTAATTCATCTAGTAACAGTAAATCTTCAATAATAGGAAACAACATAAATTACTAGAAGATTTTCCTCCACTGATTCCTCCATCAAATCTTTAATAATATCATTGTTGGTTTCTGTTGCACTGGGAAAATTTTGGGGAGCGGGAATCTGACTAGACGGGCAGGTCCAAATTTTGTATTATCTATACACAGGGCAATCGTAGAGTCTTGGTTATGTCATCACATGTTAAACCTATTAAGCTGGGATGATAATTCTCGTCTCAGTGGCAAATGACATGGTTCACACTTCAGTATTATTCTAGATTGTGATAGTTTCAATCAAATTAGGTATGGTACTGTAACTTGTTTGCCTTCCCGTAGCTGTCTTGATTGGTGAAGTTTCAATAGTCGCAACTTGCCATAGATACTTAGAGCTTCAGTTTTGACCATCTTGCTTGCCTGCTGATGTATTGCTCGCGTATGTTTTTATATGGTTACTCTGCTTCCCATTTCTCTGTTCAATATTTTTACCTAGCTACCTGAACTCTTTTTTTTTTTTTTTTTTTTAGTCCTGGAAATGAGCTCGACAAAAAATGTTCACTTATGTAGTGATGATGAACTCAGAGAGTTGGATGTGAAGCCTGTTAAACTAGAGCCAGATTTGCTTGGGGCCTCAGTGCAACAAAAAGAGTACCATAAAACTGATCTTCCCCAGCATTGTGAGCTTGAAGCCCATCCTAGAAGACAAGGTTCTGAAGAAAATAGAAGCTCAAATGCTATAAGTAGTGGTCAAAGTGGCACCAGTGATCAGGAGCAGTCTCCAATCAACAATGCAAGCCTTTCTTCCGTGTCAACTATTTGTTCAGCACCACTTTGTCGGCAATTTTGGAAAGCTGGGAACTATGATGATGGGCTAGCTTCTAAATCCGCATTTCAAAGTATCCTGCTATCAAATGCTATGTCTTGATTTTTTGGTGCATGTGCATTTCAAAGTAATCTGCTATTAGTTGGATGTTTGCTGTGGACCCTCATATCCATCCAACGTTTTTGTAGCTGCATGATCTATTCTACTCTTACATCGTTCTTTTTTATTTATAGATGGCAGTAGTTATCTTCACATTCACCCCAAGTTCCTTCATTCAAATGCTACTTCACATAAATGGGCCTTTGGTGGTATGTTCTACTTTTTTAATTTGCTAGGTCTAACCTTATTGAATTCTGTTTATACCCAATGACTTCAATATATTGTAGTTTAGAATTCCTACAATCTCCAATAACATCTTATTTGTTGCCCCATGCTCGCAGCGATTGCGGAGCTACTTGATAATGCAGTTGATGAGGTAATATTTTATCCAAAACTTTTTAGTGTATGTTGTTGTTTTGTGATATACTGCAACTCTATGTTGATTTTGCATTGCAAATGATCTGCTGTATGAAATAGAGTTTTTTTGGTTAGATTTTGAGGATAAATTATATTTATTTTCTTCTTCTCATCTTGTTTCCTTTTTTAATATTTAAATGTGTGTAGAGGTATTATTACGTGTTGTCACTAACAGCAAGTGACAGCTTAATGAACCTACAATTGTAAATTGGATATAGTTTACAGGGAGAGAGTAAGCCGATAGTAATGGGGGTGAAGCTACCTTTCTCCGGGCACCATTTTCTCATTTTTATTTTTCTTAATGGTTACCTTTTTTTCTCCCCAGCTGATGGAAAGCAAAATTGGTGGTTGACATTAGTTCTTTAGGCTAGGAGGCTAGTAGCATGGATTACATTTCCATAATGGCAATTCTGATTCATCAGAATTTGCAAGCCCCTAAGAGGTTGTTAAGGTTGATCTAGATAGTAGTGATGAAACAGGAGGCGGCCGAGTCGGAAAGAATAATGTAAATTTCATATTTTACCCTTCAGTTGTCAAAACGAAATGGATCCACTTTGAATAATTTAAGAATCATTAAAGAACACTAAACTAGTTGTGATCTTGTGGACGAAATTTTTTGACCCGTTTTTGCTCATGGGTCGTGGACCCTAATTAGTACTCTCTTTTAGCCAGATATATAAGGGCGTTTAGGGTTTGGAGTGGGTTGTGAGAGAGACACTGAAATTCGTACAAAATAGAGAGTGGGGCTAAAACTTGTAATATCCAATTTTACACATAGTGAAGTCTTTCGCCGGATCTCCACCGTGGACGTAGGCTTTGCCGAACCACGTATAAATCTGTGTTCTTTGTGTGGTGTGTTTATTTTTCTATCATGTAATCGTAATTGTTGCTTGGTTTGTTGCGTTTGTCGTAACACTAGTGTACTCCTTGTTTGGTTCCTGCGGGAATTCTGGAAGCCTGTTATGCTTTGGCTTCACCCTGTTAACTTCCTAGGTTTAACAAAAGATAATGTTGCGATTACTTCAAACTTCTAATGCATCATAAGGGAAGTGAGGTTCATAGTGTGCGCACAAATTTTCCAGATACTACCCCTAAATGCATTTGCAAACACTTGTCCTACGTTAAATGAAATAAATGTATAATCATTTGTTAGGACAAACGCAGCGAACCAAGTAGCAGTTACGAAACACAACAAAAAAATAAACACACCACACAAAGAACACAAAGATTTATACGTGGTTCGGCAAAGCCTACGTCCACGGTGGAGATCCGACGAAAGTCTTTACTATGTGTAAAATCGGATATTACAAGTTTCAGGCTCTCTTTCTCTCTCTTTACGATTTGCAGTATCTCTTGATGTCACGCTCCAAACCCTAAGCGCCCTTATATATCGGGCTACAAGAGAATACTAATTAGGGTCCACAACCCATGAGCAAAAACGGGTCGTTGGGTCGTAACGGGTTGCATGACCCGGCACCAAATTCGGGCAACATCACATCATTTCAAATAATTCAACTTTATGCTAACCCATCTATCCAGTCCCGCTCATTAAAACAAAGAGGTAAGTGACAAAGGATAACTAAATGAAGGGGTAGATAGCAACCCCATAAAAATAAAAATAAAGAAGTAAGGAATAGACTAGATGAGGTAAAGAGCATTTGCATAGCATGTGTTAATTCCTGTATTTGTCTGTTAGTTTATCAATGTGGTGCATGCAATACCCTGTTCATTTCATTCCAATGTATGGTAACTTCATGTTTTACATTCCATGTTCATCTATTGGGTAGATACAAAATGGGGCCACCTTTGTCATTGTAGATAAAACCACAAATCCAAGGAATGGAAGTCCGGCATTGTTAGTTCAAGGTACTTCATTTCCATTATGCTATCAGTTTCTAGACGATGGTTTTTTTATATGATATTGGAGTTTTCCTGATTGATACTACCATAATTAGGATTGTATCTATATTCATTATCTCGTGATTATAAAACTTATGCTTCAAAATTAGATGACGGTAGCGGAATGGATCCAGAAGCAATTAGGCGTTGTATGAGTTTTGGATTTTCAGATAAGAAGTCAAAATCAGCTATTGGACAGTGTAAGGGAGATATGCAATCATTTTGCAGTTTATCTTGTTTTCTATTTTGCTATTAATTGGTTGACTTGTAGCCTTTCAGATGGGAATGGCTTCAAGACAAGTTCTATGAGACTGGGGGCAGATGTTATTGTCTTCAGCCGCCACCTGGTGAACAGGTTTGCATTTGACAGTAAAGTCACTTATTTTCTTGCACAGTTAAATTTTGATTCTTACTGTTTTGCCCGTGTGTTTCATGAAGCCTTGCCCAATCGTGTTTATCGTTAGCATCTATTATACCGTAGTGGTATTTTATTCATATATTTATAATATATGCATGTGATTGTATTAAACAGATTGTATGTGCTTTTGCGTGTTATATATATTTCAAGTGATTTTGTGTATTTTCATTTAAGTTGGGTAAGAGATTTTAAGAGATTGATACACTGTGTTGGTTAGTTTGAGTGGATTTTGTAATTTTTTTGTCAGACATTTATATTTCATGATCTACATGAATTTCTAGTCTGACATTTGAAATGAAAAAATAATTCATTCATTGCCCACCTATATGATATGATGATGGAGTTTGACAGTAAGTAAAAAGGTCTTTTAACCCCTAACCCCTTCAAAAATGATTTTTAGGTTCAAAGTCGATACTTTCAAGCCCTAAAGCATTCAACTAACTTTTAATCCTCTTAACTTTAGCATGTTTGATTTTAGATTTCCAATTTATGTTTCCAAAATTGGGATCTTTCTAGAATAGGTAGTTGGTTGGGATGTATATGATTTTTCAATTATGTATGGATTTCTCATTACAAAAGTCAAAATAAATAATCTGCAACTCAAACTGACAGCAACGAGAAATTAGGCAATCGTGTCCTCTCACAGCTTCAACCATTTGGCATTCCTCTTATTCTTTTGACACCTTCAACTTGGATCAAATCATTCCGCCATACTAGTACATTAATTGGTCTACAATCTACAATCCAAAATATTGAACTGTACGGACAGGTGGTATCACCTCCACTCAACCTTTTTACTTAAGAATCCAATTTTTTTAACCAATAAAAATGGATATAAAATTATTTTAGATTTGGAGTGCAGGAAGATGAAAAAGACAATTTGAATCCTCAAGGGGTTGGCTCAAGTGGATAAGAACTTGGCCCTTGATAATGCAGTTGATGAGGTAAGATTAAGACCAAGTGGGTTCTTGTGGTGATGCAAGTATGACATGGAAAAAAAATTAGAGGTCCCAGTGGATTGGGTTAGGGTGGAAGGTGAGTTGGTTGTAACTCTTTAAGAAAGAAGGAGTGGTAGTAACAAGGATAACGATGGAATTTTGAGGTCACGATGGCCCTCCTAAGACTAATTCCAGTTTAGAAAAGGTTTTAGTTTGTGTCATTGTGTTCTGTTTTTAAGCTTTTGATGCTTGAAAACTGTGTCCCAGAGGATGGATGGGTTCAATCCTGATCTTTGACATAATTTGCACAAAGTGAGTTTCCTATCACTTGAACTTGCGTACTAAAACTTAGTGGACTGATCTCTTTCCCTTTGTTTTTTTTTTGATAAATAAAAAATTTTATAAAAAAAAACACTCCAAGGGGGAGCGGAACCCAAGAACAATACAAAAAGCCACTCAATCCTTCAAAGAGGCCAAAAAATCAACAATATCCTCCAAAGATCTATGATCTCTCCCTAAAACCCAACAAAAAAGAGTGGATATAATCGAGAATTTAAGCACCGAAATCGACATCGCCTTTCCTTCAAAATATCTCTTATTCCTTTCAAGCCAAATGCACCACCATACACAAAGCGGTGTAGCCCTCCACGCATCCTGACTGTAAGTCCCCACAGGGCAACCTCTCCAAGCCTCAATCAACCCTCTTGTAGATCTAGGCATAACCCAATAAAGCCCAAATAAGCCAAGCATCAAATCCCAACACTCTAGCCACATAGCAATGAATGAGAAGGTGATCCACTGATTCCTCATTACGAAGGCACATAAAACAACGATTGATCACCACTTGGCTTCTCCTTCGCAAATTATCCTGGGTTAGGATCTTACCCAAAACCGAAGACCACACAAAGAAAGCCACCTTGAGAGGAGCCTTGGAGCGCCAAACAGACTTCCAAGGAAAACGAACATCAGGATCAAATGAGAGACACTTGAAGAAGGACCTCACCTCAAAACGCCCATGAGAGTTTGCTACCCAAGACCAATAGTCCGAATCCTCCTCCACAATCCTTTGGCGATAAAGCAGCTCCAAGAAGCGAATGACCTCCTCGATCTCCCAATCCTGAAAGTGACGCCTGAATCAAACATCCCAAACCAGTCTCCCATTATCAAGATGATAACAGTTGACCACCATGGCCTGCCTATCCGAAGCAATCCTGTAGAGCTGAGGAAAAGCGAGAGCGAGAGGAACATCTCCACACCACACATCCTCCCAGAAGCAAATCCTCCTCCCATCTCTAAGACGAAATCGAATGTGTCTTCGATTTGGTAATATTGTTTACTCTTCCTTTTTGGTGATATTGTTTCTATTTTCCTTTATATTTTAAGCTTGAAGGATTCCTCATCTTCACTCCTTTTCATTATAATGTATATAGTTATGATGGCAGTGTCTCTGAATTAAAAAATATTTAATTGCCGAGAAGAGAGGACTTTTCCCTATCCTACTTAACGCCCTAATGTTGCCGGAGGAAGCTTGCCGTGGTAGAGATGCGACCAGAGTCTACTGCTCCGACCAGTCACCGGAGTCATCTACTTCGGTAAAATCCTCTGCTTCTTTTCTTTCTTTCGTTCTCTTTCTTTGTTGGCTTCGTTTTGGTTTGTTGCTTTGTGGTACTGTTCATGAAAGTGCTTAACAGTGAGAAGGTGTCTTACTTGGAGGTTGCTCGTCTTCCTCACCTGGATTTGAAAGGGGAGGTGGAACGGATTCCGTCTCTTAGGGATCATGTGTTTAGGGGTGGACAATCTCAGCACCTCCTCTCGTGAACGGGTTCTTAGGGCTTGCCTTGTCGGGAGATTTGACAGAGAGGTAAGGTCTTTGGAGGAGATTGAAGATTGGGCCACGAAGATTTGGTTGATTTCGGGTGGGGTTAGGGTTAACTCTCTGCCGAACGGGCTTTTGTTGTTCCGGTTCCCGTCGGTGTTGGAAGCTCATAAGGTTCTGGACTGGGGTAAGAAAACTTGGGGTGAGGCTTAACTTTTCATCGATCTCTGGTACTACAGGGTCGGGTGTTCCGGGTTGAGATTGAGGTTTAATTGCCGGTGAGTCATTTTGTATGGCCTGCCATTGCATCCATGGTGTCAGAAGCTTTTGGTCGCCATTGGTGATGTGTGTGGAGGTTTTCGGGATGTGGAGGCCTTCGAGATGAGTGACACGGAAAGGATTGTGCTCACTGTGGCTAACGGTGGTGTGATTCCGGCAAGTATCGTTGTGGAGGATGGAATGTGGGCGTTCAGAATCTCGCTTTCTGAAGAAATTGCTCCGATCATGGTCCTGCTGTCTGGGACAGGTATCGGAAAAGGTGATTTGGGGCCACCGGTGGCGTCAGCTACTGTTTCCCGTTTGTCACGCAGGTCTGGTGGTGGGGTTGGACCTAAGCCGGAGTCCTAAAAGGTGGAGGTGCAGAACGGCCGGCTTCAAGGTCAGGGATGTGTGAGCCACCACGCGCCTAAGGCGAGTGGTAGTGGGAAGGATGTGTCGGTGACACGTGGTTGGAGGAGAAATGATGCCCGTTGCGAGTGAATGACAGCTGCTCGTCCCCGTGCTAAGTTACGTGATCCGCGGGGTTTTTTGAATTCTGCTTTTGTTGGCCAGATGTTGTTGGGCCTATCCAGCGTAGGGCGCATGCAGTGGGTTCGAAAGTGATTGGGAAGGCTACACATGAGGGGGGTGGGTTTGGCCATCCTCTGGGCTGGGGCGGCCCTTAAAGTCCGTTAAGCGGGATAGACGACTTAAGCTTTCTAGGCCTATTGTTTCTTCTTGACCAACCCAGGTTAAGCCAAGAGTAGCTAAGGATAGGGTGGTTAAATGGGGCCCAAATAATCGCCTTTCAATTTCATTTCAAGGTGGGCAGCCCAACCCAATTTCAGAAGCATCGCCCAGCCTTGCGTTTCATGAACCTTCTCCGGACACGTCACAGAGAAGATCGGCCTCACGTTATTGGTCAAGGAAAGAGAATGCGAACTGGGTGAAGGAGAGTTTGAGCATGATGAAAGGGGCTGGGGCTTGTCCGAAGACTTTCCGGCATGGATCGTGTTGTCAAAATCGGCTCTTGGGTAACAGATTTGATCCTCTTCAGTCTGGTTTTTTTGGGTGATGAAGAGAATGGCGATTGTAATTCTTTGAAGAATGATGGTCTCTGTCGGAGCTTCTTGAAGCAACCCAGCAAGAAATGGACCAGAAATGACAAGCAAAAGTGGGTCGCTCGTAAGGATCCTAATTCGTGTCCAGGTATGTCATTTTCCTCTCATGTTCGGAACTCGTAGTCAGTTTCTATCTCTACTTCTACTCCTTCTTCTGAGTTGTTGAGAAGTAAGAGGGAGGGAGGGAGGGAGGGGGGGGGGGGGGGGGTTGGTTCTTGATGAGAGGCAGCAGATGTTATCGCCTGTTCTTGAGGTTGACTAGGTGGATGTGAGCTCTACCGTTGGCTCTGATTTTGGGGATGTTGGGCCGTCAGAAAGGGATGGGACTTTGTTTGTCTGGTGACAGGGATTATGATCAGTTTTGTGTTGGGATTGTTGAGACTTGTTCGGAGTTTTCTTCAGCTTCTCGGTTTGATTCTTCAGGGGAGGAGTTAGGTAGGCCGACCAAGTCTCTTTTGGGTGGAACGGAAAGGCTGTGTTCATCCTTAAAAGGTGGTCCACCGACTTGTTTGAAGGGCCCTGTGCCTGACTTAGTGACTGTTTGTGTGGGCAAAGATATCCGTATTTACCTCGGCGATGAATCAGCCTCTCTTTTGGCGAAGGAGCTGCAGAAGCACAGATTTTTGCCTGATGATCATACTGTTGACTGCAACCCGGATCCGTTCATCCAGAATGGTGTACTGGATTATGGTGAGGACTGGATGTCACATGTCGAGGAGGCAATGGAGGCCACTGGAGGTGTGGAAGATGGGATCAGGTTGGAACAGGGCAGTTCTCTTGATCTGATTTTGTGGGAGGAGGATC